AGAGGAGAAATAAAAGAACAAGAAGGCAGAAGGAGACGCTGCCAGCCACTGCCAGGACAAGCAGCATGTGAAGATGCTGGTAAGCCACGAGCCACGTAGCAAGATATAGATTTGTAGAAATGTGTTACTTTAAGATATAAGAATAGTTAACAAGAAGCCTGCCACGGCCATACAGTTTGTAAGTAATATAAGTCTCTGTGTTTACTTGGTTGGGTCTGAGCGGCTGTGGGACTAGCGGGTGACAGAGATTTGTCCTGACTGTGGGCAAGGCCGGAAAACTCTAGCTACAGGGGTCTGCATGGGTCAGCACCAGGTCCTTGGCATGTGTGTTATGGCTGTTAGCTTGGTCTTTTTGTGGGACTCCTAATAAGGGTGTATCTCTGACTCTTGCTTGCTCTTGAGACTCTTTTCCTCCTATTGAGTTGCTTTGTCCAGCTTCAATATGAGGGCTTTTGCATTGTTGTCTTATTCTTGTTTTGTTGTGTTTGGCCGTTGTCTCTTGAAGACCTGCTCTTTTCTGAAGTGGAAACAGAGCGGGAGAGGATCTGAGGGAGAAGGGAGGTGGGAGGGAGCTGGCAGGAGTTCACAGAAGGGAAACTGTGGTCTGGGTGTATTGTATGAGAGAAGAATCTATTTTCAATTAAAAAAATAGAAGAAAAATAAAACAAGAAAGAAAGAAAAAGATCTCTAGAGGCTCAGCCTTGGGTAGCAGAGCATGTTGGCAGCTTGGACTTCAAGGAGGAGAAAAAGCTTAGAATAGTACACATTATGTTTTGACTCTGCCCACTAAAATTCATAGTAAATTTAGTCCTCAAAATTAAAAGTTGAGGCCTCTAGCCCTCCTGAGAGGACTCTTGTGACTGTTGTAGGAATAACTACTCCTGTATGGGTTTGATTCCTGGTGAAAGTGTGAGTTTGGCTTCCTCACCTCAAACACCCTTGGTTGCACATATCTCCTCTTTCCCATCATGAAGTGATACAGCAAAATGATCTCAGCAGCTGAGTGTTTGAAGCCAGTTCAGCCTCTTTAGTGAGTTCCAGGCCAACAGGGCTACATAGTGAGATTCTGTCCTTTAAAAAAAAAATGCATATACAAAAGTAAACAAAAGCAAGAAAATGAAGGACTCATATCTGGTGAGCCCTTCAGTCTTAGACTTCTTCTGTCTTAGACCTGTAAGAAACAAATCTTTATTCTTTATAAATTACCAAGTTTCACGTAATCTGTTATAGCAGTGGAGACAAAAGCAGTGAAAGGCTGTGTTAGCCCCTTATGGAGTGGACAGTGCACAACAGCAGTGAGGACCTCAGATGGGGCTCTGACCCCAAGAGATCTGGAACAGTGTGGTTGGCAGTTCCATGCAGTGGAAGATAGAGTGGCAGAGTCCTCAGCTCTCAGGAGGTGGGATGCTGAACAGAGGTGGTGGCTCCGGGAGAAGACAGCAATCTCAGTGGCTCAGGGGTAATTTCCAGGGGCAAATGATAGTTCTGAAGACATAGGGTTCCAAGACACTTCAGCATAGAAGCCAGGATGCCATGGCTTAACCAGGGCTCTTTTTTCATGAGAGGTGGGCACTGTGTCAGGTGGGCACTGGGAGAGACAGCTTCATGACTCAGTCAAATTCTGTTTGCTGGGATGGCAGGGTACTCTTACTGGTAATTAGCATTGGTGGTTTTGCCTTAATTTTAGGAAAGACCTCCGAGTTAGTTACCTGTTTCAGAATCTGAGGCCTAATCAGTAATTTGAGAAGTGTCACATAGTCTGTCTTCTAGAGGCTTATGCGATACCAGACACCCTCCAGCTCTCTGCATACCAGCCACACTGGCAGTTCAGAATCAAAGAAGATGCATAAACTTCTGTGGCAGGATGTTCACGCATGCCATTTCTCTCTCTCTCTCTCTCTCTCTCTCTCTCTCTCTCTCT